GGGGAGCAGCGCTGAGATCTCAGCCATGGGCCGGGGGGATTCACACCCTGACAGAGCCAGTTCAGGGACAGAGTGAAAGGAGCAGCTCCGCTGAGCCAGGCCCCCAGACTCCGAGTCTGAGTCTCAGTGATTCCATCCTTGTGCTTGGGGGAAAGACAAGGGGGGTTAGAGGGAGGTGGTTTTCAACCACCTTTGTCCTTCCTTTAGTCTCCCTGGCCCCTAGTTACAGGGGCCTCAGCACTGCAAAGCAGAGAACAGCCAGAGTGCGATGCATCCTGTCTATGCCCCCAGCAGAGCCGTCCCTTGTGTAGAGTAAATCGGGGTGACTGCTCCGGGCCCCGCGCTTTGGGGGGCCCTGTGGGCCAGTGCGATGGGCAGACGCAGTCAGTCCCAGAAGAAACGAATCCATCACTTCCACCCCGGGCCCCCCTGCGCCAGGCCCTGTGGGCCAGTGCGATTGGCTGGCACGGTCAGTCCCGGAAGAGATGAATTGGTCACTTCTGCCCTGGATCTGGCACTCCCCTAGGGACGGCTCTGGCCCCCAGCATGCCCCAAACCCACTCCTACAATAACGGCTGGCAGCAGTTGCTGTAGAGCCCCTGTGCCAACTTCACACGGACAGGGGAGGGGGTGGGGGGGGCTCTCCTGCACAGGAGCTATTTTCTGGGGACTGTTTCCAGGCACATTAAGGCCCCTTTGCTCTGACAGAGCAGCACAAAAGGGCCTGACAATCAGGCCCTGGAATCTTTCCCCACCTGCACCCACCTCTCCCCACAGATGTGATTACAGATCCTGGCATCATAGGAGGCTCCCAGCAGATTACAGGGAATCCAAAGTCCCCCTGTCCCATGATGAAACTCTTCAGAGCCCCGTCTCCTTGCAGAGCCCCCCCTCCTACAGATCAGCGAGCTGAGCACTAGAAAACCTGCTTTTATAGAGATATCACTGGTGCTGCATGACTCTGTGTAGCTGTGGTGTGGGTGAGGACACCGCACACTTCCTGAATCGCTGCTTGTCTTGTGCTGGTCTATCGGGGACTTTCCAGTCTCCACACTGATGGCCCCAAGGCTATGCAATGGCTAATCCAGTATTGCCGACTTCAAGAGATCAAATCTCAGGTAGGCCCAAAAATCATGACATTTTTAAAAAGGATTCTACTGTCATTTTTAGGTCAGTCTCTTGATGTTTGAACTCCCCTGGCCCCTCCCCAGGGTGTGCGCATGTGACAATCAGTGTTGCCCACTCTCCCACATGTCCTGGAGAAGGGGATTTTGCGTCCTGCTGCAGGAGCTCTCACCGCCACATCTGCCTGTCTCCTACCCAACAATTAATCCTGTCCCCCAGATCCCCACATCAGTTCTGTCCCCATCCAACCCCCCTCAATTCAGTCCCCAGCCCCCATCATCACCCCCCCATCAGTTCAGCACCCCTACCCCATTGCTCTCAGTTCACCCTCCCAGCACTCACCCTATCTGCTCAGAACCCATTATCAATACAGCCCCCTCAGCCCATCAACCCCCTGCTCACTTCAAGCCCACTGCAGTCCTCAGGCCATACTAAAGCCCTCCCAGCCTCACCTCTGCTCCTCCTGGGGTTCTTCACCCTCCCTAGGCCTGGGGGCTGCAGTGGGGTCCCCTCTCCCACTTCCCAGGCTGGCAGGGGAGCACCGCACTGGGGTGGCTGACAGCGGGATTCCCAGCCACGCCCAGGGCAGCTGACAGGATTTCTAATTTTTAGAACTCTCAAATGTCGGGATTTTTTTTCAGCCGCAGCTGAGAATTCTATCGCGAGATCATGAGTGAGGCCTAATTCTAAATCATAATAGACAAAAGAATCTACTCTTCTGTTTTTAGGAAAGATCTGTGTAGCCACCAGTAATATAGTGTTCAGCTCCTGTCAAACGCAAAATTGAAACAAAACCTGAACTATCGTGCTGCCAATGAGCCCCCATAATTCATATGAAAACTTTCACTCCCCCTTTGATCCGAGAAATTTACCTTTGTGCAACCGCTGTCTAGACGACAGACAGTCTAGAGAAAGAAAAGGGTGAAAAAGATGAAATGTCATGTTGATGAATATATTCACATTGTTAATGTTCTTACAGAAAAACAAAATGAAAAGAAAACAAACTTTATTCAGTTCTAGTTAAGGAGGCTAAGTGCAATTCAGACCAATATAAACCATTACACACCTCACTAAAAAATAACCACAAACATTAAAAACTAAGGACATGACCTAAGGTTACATGACAGACCCAGAGATGTTTTACCAGCAATTAAACACCTGTGGCTGGCCCATGACAGCTGACTTGGCTCGAGATGCTCGGGCTTGGGCAGAGGCCTGGGCTCTGGGACCCTGTGACGGGAGAGGGTCGCAGAGCCCAGGCTCCAGCCCGAACCTCGTGAGCCGGAGTCAGGGGACACGGGCCAGCCACAGGTGTTTAATTGCTGTGTAGACAAACCCTCTGACACCAACACATAATTCACAGTCAGACCAATACACAGACACTTTTTCACTGATTAGCATTCGATCAACTTTAAATCTGCCCCTGTACCACTAGTACTCAGTAAAACTGGCTCATCCTTCCTGGCAGACCTGGTGGTCTCATTATCTCCAGCTCAGGAGGATAAAAGTTGGAGTATCTCCAAAGCAGGGGTGGGAAACCTACGGCCCGTGGTCCAGATCTGGCCTGTTGCTAAATTTCATCCAGCCCACAGGACCCACTCCCCTCACTGTGGGGTTGGAGCCACGAGTGCTGATTCGCCTTCTCAGAGAGGGGAAGCCCCGAGTCTCTGCACAGAACTGTGGGAACTAGGAATGCAAAGGGTGCTGCAGTGCACCCCCCCCCCCGGTTTTGCACAGAGTTCCATCCGCCAGCGCCATGCCCAGGGTCCTGGCTGGCTGCTGGACCCCCGCGTGGGGCTCTGCTCCCAGCACCACACGCTGGGTCTGGTCTGCTGGCCCACCCCTGGGGCTCTGCTCCTGCCCCCACCTCCCGGAGCCACAGCCCAGTCTTAGCACCAGCTCTGTGGAGAGGGCACAAACAGGAGTAAAGGGGGTGCCAGGTAAAAAGTTTGGGGACCACTGGATTTCAGCACCCCCACTGTAAAAATTGTTCCAGCACTACTGCCTCTGCACTCCCCACAGGGCTGGAGTTGTGAGCCCCAGCTCAGCCTGCTGCAGGGGGGGAGGGGAGCCCCGAGCCTCCACGCCCCTTTCTGTCCCCCTGCGGTGAGTATCCTGCAATTGATTTTTTTCTGTGGGTCAATGGCCCGTGATAGAAAAAAGGTTCCTCACCCCCGCTCTAAAGCAAGAGAGGGACTTTGGTGACACCGGAGGCCTTGCAGTAGGGTTACCATATTTAAAAAATACAAAAAGAGGACACTCCACGGGGCCCTGGCCCCGCCCCTTTCCCAACCCCGGCCCCGCCCCAACTCCGCCCATTCCCCAAAGTCCCCACCCTAACTCCCCATCCTCCCTCCCAGCCACGCGAAAAGGGCTGCCCAAGCGCTAACAGCTTCACAGTTTGCCGGGCAGCCTCCAGACCCTGTGCCCCCGGCCGGCGCTTCCCCAGCACAGCAGGAGCCCGGGAGGGGAAGCGCCCGGCCGGGGGCGCAGGGTCTGGAGGCTGCCCAGCAAACCCGTGAAGCCGGTAGCGCTTGGGCTTTCGGCAGCCCCTATGCCTCCGGACCCTGCGCCCCTGGCCGGGCACTTTCCCTCCCGGGCTCCAGCTGCTCTGCTCCTCCCCTGACTCTTCGGCTCTGTTTAAGAGCCGAGCTGCCAGAGCGCTACTGGCTTCAGGCAGCCCCCCTGCCTCCAGACCC